TCGCCATAAAAGAAAGACCCATAAACTTTCCGCCGAGATATGGCACAAAAACATTCAATTTAGGAGTCTCGTTGCACTTGTACCATCGCGTGAGGATTTTCTGAGACTCTGATCTGCCTATTATGAGTATTCACGTGTCCACTAAGGGCAAAGGTCGATACATCACTGAAGACATGATCCAAAAAATCTTATCGTCCTGCAACAATAAGTCGTTAGCGAAGTTGGCACGTAAACCATGGTCTATAGGTTTTAGAGCCTGTAACAACTGCACACTATGAGAGCGTAGTTTGTAAAGTCTCCGTAAAACTCTCCAAACTGTCGTTACAGGAATTGTTAATTGACGACTTGCCTTCGGAACGGATTTCTTTGGGCTACGCGTGAATTCTCGCATTCGCTCAACGATCTCTTCACCAACTCTTGGTCGTTCCGTACTTTTCCCTTTACCATTGCCTTGCCTATTTATTTACGAATCTGTAATATTTGTCAAAACTGACTTACTTAGCAGTGGGAACATATTTTCATGCAATAATATATAATCTTGCCTCACCGAGAATCGAGCCCGGGGCCGCACTAGTCTGATACTAAAAGAATTATCAGTTTCAAGGCGATTTTTTTGTATTTTTGCACACAGCCAGCCAATACTGTGCCTATGCAAATCCGCTCCTGCTCATAATTCGGGCCTCAGAAAGGTGATGACATCTTCCTGATGCCAGTTTCCTTTAATTTTTTTGTTCTTTCTTGACATTGAGAACGGACGAAAGCCAATTTTTTTGTTTGCTTTCATTTAGATTTTTTCTTCAAGAATCATAAGCGTTCGCGTAGCGTCCCACAGAATTTTGAAAGGGGCTCATAGCTTGACGAATTAAGATATTTTATTTCGGAAAAATGTTCCCTCCTTGTTATTCCCCCTTGTTTAACCTGACAACTTGGGGAATTGTTAAATGAAATTTGGGAATGAGCCTTTCCAAGCCATCTAACGACCTGAACTAAGTTCAATCTAGCATAAATTGTATCTACTAATTGTGTCATTAATGTCATAATTTCGTTTTCATTGTATTGTGATTTATTGTATTATATATAACATTTATATTTATTTTTATTTATTAGTAAAATGTGATATGTAAATAAAAAGGTTTAATCAAAAAGAGGGCCCAGAAATGTAGTTTCCCTCCCGCCTTGTATTAGACTTTGTACACCTGTGTTAAGAATGCATTTGCTTGTGCAAAAGACATTAACTCTCCTTCTAAGTTCACTTTTTAATCATTGTTCCCAAATTGTCATTACATTACAATCATTTCCTGACTACATATGGCTGTAGGCTTATAGTTATGTGTAGGGAGTGAAGAAGGCAATGCGTAAGATGTATTTCGCAACATTAAAATTATCCTGCATATATTTGCATGTATTTCTACTACAACATCAAGGGGTGATAAAATAACTTTTGTTCACAGGTGTAATAGGATCTAAGGTTGGGTAATTAAAAAAAACACACCAAAGTAAATCACATTACAATTATATTTTATTCTGTACAAAAGTCAGTTATAAAATATTTCCCATCATGGAGTATGATGTATAGTGACAAAGGTGCTGAGTATAAATAACAGGAAAAACACCCACTGCACACACAGATCAGATCACCAGATATATATTTATATCTTGAAGGAAAATCTCAGGGAAACACATTTATTTCAACATACACATGAAACAAATATGAGGGTATAAGAAGCTTAATATGAACATGACAACAAAAATTACAGACTATAGGACGATCTCCAGCGCACCTTGTGGCTTGTTCACATTCAGTTACCAAAGTAAGTTCTAAGTACATGGTAATTAATACGGATGAGAGACAGATGAGGCACTGCCAACAACCACTTTTATCAATAAAGTTTTCAAATTTTAATACCTGTATCCCCTGTTTAAAAATTACAATAATGGAGGCCACAACTTTAATTTGGTTAGAAACTGTTTAAAACTTATAAACAGAAATGATTAAAAATGGGTACTATACAAAATATGTTTTTCCTACAAACATGAAAACTGTTCATTACTTGATACAAGCATTTTCGAGAACATGAAAAGAAAATCTCTGTTTTCAAACATAACAAAGGAACTATTGAATGATTATATTCAATTACTTAATTGTGTTCTCTAATAACACTTACTGACAAATGACTTTCAAATAATTAAATATTGTAAGATAATCAGTAGATATAATGTACTTAGTACATATCAAAAGAAACACTTCTCTTGAAACAGATATTTGCAAGCCATTTGTTGACACTTAAAATAATTATATCTGACCAGACAAACATTTGTCACTAACATTTTACTCTATTAGTTGTGGACTTCAGATTTCAAATACCTGTGCTCATCCATAATGCAAATAGGAACTACAAAAATAAAACAAATTTTGGCTGTTTCAAATGTGAACTATCTCTACCTCATTAAATACCCATTTCAGTGTATAAATTGTTCAGCTTTAAGAAAGACAAGAAATGAAAAAATACTGTTACAAAAGATTAATAATTGGATGGAAGAAATTTAAAATCTATAGAAAAATTTTATACAAATATAGATCTAGTTTCAAAGCAGGATGTTCCTTTCCATCTTATATCTGTCTTTGCACTGCCCAAACAATACTATCAAAACATAAATAATAAGTAAATCAAGAAATTCATTTTGTAAAGAGAAAACATCTTACTTACAAAAATAAATATACATTCACTTTGCTATTTCAAATAATGTATGTAGTTATATTACATAGTTCCAGAATTAAATATCTGTAATAAATGCATAATGATTGAATATATTTTAACTTTATTTCATTCATGCATCATTCAGACTAGTTCTGCAATACATATTCATATGAATATGCAAAACTGCTTTTCTGGAAATACTTAGCATTCCAGTCTTCAAGCACATTCAAATAAAAGAAAATGAGGAAATAAAGAAGTAAGCAGAAGTATTTTTAATTTTACTAAAATGATTGAATAAAGGAATACAAAACAGGGACCATTGTAAAAAATATGAAGAAACAAAATTACATTCATCTCTGGTAACTATTGGGCACTGTAGCAGAGATGACAGCAAGAATTATTTTAAAATATTTTATTTTCATATAACTCACACTATGTGACAAAAAATAATAAATCATATGTACAATAACTAGTTCTACATACAACATCTCTCAATATAAACTCACGATAATACAGTAGCTGACACAGTTACTGTTACATTTCCTCTTTTTGACTTAACTACTGAACACACGCATTCAAAGGAAAAAAAAGAAATGAAATTGTCATTACAGTAAAGAAAAGAAACAATTCTATTCATATGAATTCTTTTATCAAATTAAGAGGTTTGTAAATGCATTCACAATGTAAATTCAAATTATCTCATTCTACAATTACATAAACTATGACAGCATTAAAGAATAATTCTCCAAAACATACAATGACTATTATATTCTTTTAAATGCACCAGTTTTTAGTAAATAACTTGTTAATCTTTCTTTTTCTCTTTTGCACTTGAATTTTCATCTGTTTTTATGTTTGTTGTTTTTTTCAATCAAATGTAATGTACATAATTTAGATGGAAAAAGACTAAATGCTTTAATTTAAATTTTTCTCAAAATGTTCAAGTTTCTTTATTAAAAAGCAAATTCTTTACTTAGTACTGAATTGTATTTAATAACATTCACCTTCTACTAGCTCAATTTCAGAGTATTCTAAAATATTCTTAGTTGACTTCTGTAATCACATAATAATGTATTCTAACTGCAATGTTAAAAACACAAATTCCAATCCAAAATGGGATTTGCAATAAAACCGTAAGGTAAAAACTCTTAATTGCATTTTCATTTCAAAAAATCTACTTCATTTGTAAATTTTCTGAAGACATAGAAGTATGGCAATGTATAGTTTTAAACGAGAACAGCTTACTTGTAAAAAGTGATGCCTTGCAAACTTTTCAGAGCTCATATTTTGTAGAAAGTTGAAAAATGAATAATTCAAAACATAACACATGTTTTAAATAAGGGACAAACTAAACAATATTAAATTTATTTTATACACAAAAGCTATCATGCTCTCATCAAAAGGCAAGCAATTTCTTAAGACACATTTTTTCTTGTTTATCCTAAACAGCATTCACTAACCCCAACAAAATATAAAACACTTCTCTTTGCAATATTGTACTTTACTTTTGATAGTAATTCTATAACAAGGTTGTGTTGAATCTAATTTAGACTACCGTCACACATCTTTAAAACTTGACTCCACTTTGAGATCTACATTCATGACTGATGAATATTTAAAAAGTACATAAGATGGCAAAAGTAAATACCTCAACATATCAATATGCTTCAATAATTTCAATTGCAAAAGAGTACCACACATTGTAAAATTGAACTGTTTCAAAATGAAAAAGATGTTTTTATTTTTTTTCAAACAAATTAAGAAATATATTAAACGATAATAGTAGAATATGTATAAGTCCTAAATAAGCAGAATTAAACACAATAAATATATAATGAATTTATATTTATATAATTTTCAAGAATGAAAATTAATAAAAACTTTTAGTATTGTTAATTGATTATGGTGTGAGCTAGGAGCTATCTTTCGCAACTTTTATCCAACTTTAATAACTTAATGTCAACTTGGCTAGCAAATACTGTCATAATTTAGTGCCATTGACCAATTGGTCTAATCACTGTACTAATTATGGAAATCAAATAAGTTTTTCTAAGATTCTGTAATGAAAGTATTGTATTATTCACAACTTATTACAAAAATGTATTCAGATGGAATAGGAAACTATTTTTATACTGTAACAAATGGTCTCCAATATGTCTTTACGTTCATATGTTGTTAAATTTATCGATTAGCAAGGATTGTTTATTAATACAACCTCTTAAAACCGAAAGCATCATAAATGGAATACTCTCTATTTCAAATATTTGTTGATTAAGAAACTTTTCTTAATTGGATATTCTTCTCTCAGTGTTTTCAAGATTTAGACGCATCTCCTACATCACTAATATTTATATTATCTTCAGAACTGTAGCAGTGCCTCCAATAAAAAGAAAGACAATATTCAATCATTCTAAATTGACATAAATCTTTTGATTCAAACTTTTAAATATATGATGTGAAAACAAGACAGACATAAATGTTGGATATTTGCAATACACATAGTTAACAGAAGTTTTCCATCATAATTGCAATGGAAAATCAAAACATTTGCTTCAGAAACAGCCATACATGTCACATTATCTTTATTTTTAAAACATAAGTTTGATTATTTCAATAACACGAATATTTTGCAATTAATTTCATACATTTTCATACTCTCATTTCAGTCCCACACACTATTTGTTTTCATTGTCTGTAATTTACACCATCAACATACGTCAGATTTGACTATAAATTTATGCAAGACATTGAGTCTTCAGAATACCTTTCTAAAACAGTGATGATTATTTCTAAAACGCAAGGTTCTAGGACACATGGGTACAATATTTTGATTCAAACACTCTGCAAAATTATTCAATTTTTCTTTATAATTCAGTTAATAAAATATAAATTTTATTTACCCAGTGGTGGTTCATCATTGTTTGCTTACTACAACAGAGTGTCAACTACACAAGCTGAATTACAGAAGAATATACTTCAAATACACTGAGCAACTTGTTTCCAAATACTGCTTTTTAAAGAAACCTTGCATGATAGGAAGTAAGGAAGGAATTGCAGAGATCTTATCACAAGTTTATGAATTCATTTCCATATTTAATTTTTAAATGCTACATTTTCAATGCCATCAATTTCATACTCTTCATGTCATCCAAAGTCAAAACTTCCACTGTGCAAAAAGTTTTTCTTTTATTGTTTTAGATAAAGATTAGCAGCTGTTTATGTGTTCATTTTGAATTTTCAATGTTGATTTTGAAATAATTTGTTGAAGAAGGGCTTACTAATTTTTTTTTTTTTTGAATTTTTGTTGTCCAACTTCAATGGGTGTAATAAAAAATAAATTCATTCCTGATATTTTATAGAATATAAAAACTGTTAGAAGCAAAATAAATGAAAGATAAAATCAGACTAGGAAATGTTAATTGCATGCATGATGAATTTCACTGTCACATGAACAGATGAAAAGTTCAAAGCTCTATTGATCAGGATGTACTAGGGAAAAAGTAAACTGAGGAAAGTAATACATCTATCAAAGTACTCATTATGAAAAGTACTTCTCTACAAACAAAAAATTTTGAAAAGCGTTTCTTTCAGTATGCATCTTTCAGTATGCTCTGTTGATAAAATTTACACTTTAAACATATTGACCATTCTCATAAAGGAAACAAAGCAATATAATTCTAAAAGTATAACATTTATAACACTGTAAGCCTCCAGTTCTTTACACTAGTACTCACCATTTGCCTCATTGATTTGAAGCATTTTCTCAATCCTCAGTGATATGGAAGTGAACTAATGAAGTTAATTCAGTTACTTAAGTGTGTTGCATGTTTTAATCAATATTCTTAAATTTCATTTCAATAACAGGCAATTTACGGGCCAAACATTTGTTCAGGATTTCTTTTACATTGCAAGATTCCGAGAATGTATTTCCATATAATATTGAAGAGGTAATTTCTCCCTTATGACATATTTTTTACAAGACACAGCAATATATTATGTTGCTTCAGTGGCATAATGTTTCACTGTGAACGAATTATTCTTAGTGGCTCAGTGCAAATGAAATTTAAACAAAGAATTCCTGTATATTATCAATAGTGTACCACAGTTTTTAGAAAAGTAAGACTACTGCAAGTTGCAGTTATCTGAATCGTCTCTTGAAGTTACGAGCCACCACTGGATTTAATATACATTATTCCCCCACAATAATTGGGTCAACTTTGAAGTAGTAACAACAATACAAAACCACAAAATGGTTTTGTAGCATTTTCTCAGTGGATCAACATGAGCAAAAATACTGTACTGTATAAATGTTTTTTTTTTTCATTTCTCCAAGTCAAATCATCCAGTGTGGTTAAAAGCATCATGCCCATCCTCCTCCTTAAAAATCAATTATGTGTGTAGGGTGTCATAATTCCCTACATGTAAAGAAAAACACACGTTTCTAAATATGGATACTTTCCTAGTTAAATGAGCATGACAGTTGTCTTTCACAAATAATTAACACACAGGTACACACTTTGTAATCTTCAAATTTGTTCAGATATACTCTTTTATCCAGTTGTTTTGTATACGTGACAGATTACAGTAAATAAAATACACAATCATTTCTATGAAAGCTGAAACTCCAAAATGTGCGAGTACAGCAATCTTTGTTAGAATAACTACTATAACAGGAGATACATTAATGGAAATCTACACACCAATATAATTACAATGTCAATTATATACTTTTCTCCCATGATCAATTCATTTGCTTGAGTGTTACATATGGCACAGTAAGCAGAAATAAATTAGAAATAATCTTTTGGAATGATGTGACAGGAAATGAAAGTTATTTTTATCATTAATGAGTCTCAATAAGCCTACAATGTATGAATTTGGAAGTATAAAATTTGATGAATATATGTGATCACAAATTGCAAAAAAAAAAAAAAAAAAATTAATCATGAAACTCATTTTCATATTCATAAATATTTATAATTGGACTTGTAGTTGATCCACATGTAACAATATCTTTTAATTTTCTGCAAATCCACAACGGGGAAACCTGAAGTTAGTTTCATCAATATTTCAAGGGTTTTACTTTTCAAAACCAATGATAACTTGAAATTTCCAGCTCTTTCACAGACAAATTTTACTGAAGTCGTTTCTTCTGTGAAGATAAATTTGAAAACATAAAGATGACTAAAAATCATGCACTGAATTTTTTCATAAATGACTATAACAAAAATTACTGCTGCACTCTTGTGCTTCATAATTTATAATAAATTTATGATTCAGTGTGCCTGTTGACTAGTAAAAAAAGTAGATTTAAACAGGAGTGCTGTAAACCCAGTGGTTATATTTAGTTTAGTTTCCATATCTGAGCATAAGTTTCTTTGATAATCAGTATCAGTCTGAATTTGCATTGAAACTGTTGATAAATTTTGAATTAAATATTGTTTTAGAAGAAAGAGGGTTAATATTAGCACGATATTTACGGTTATAATCAGTTCAGTTCAAAGAAATATGTCAGTCTGTCACAGGTGAGGAGGTGTCCTTAGTACAGGATGAACATGATTTGTAGTTATTTGCCTGTACTATTACAGAATGATACTTGACATTAGTATGCAAGGTCTGACCAGATATCAATCAAATAAAATGGAACTTCAATTTATTTCCTTGGGAACAGCAATTTATTAGTCAATACACAATTACTCAAATTTGTGCATACACACTCTATTTCTTTAGCATTCAATCACACTTGCGGAGTTCAACGACAGTAAAATAAAGACTACAAAGTATTTTTGTTACCTAAACATATTCTCTGAATATTATTTGCCACAATAAATAAATTTTCATCTGTGCCACTTTGGTGTGTTTGAAATTTGGTCAATATTCTCTCACACCATTTCAATTCCACAGCATATACACTCTATGACAGAATGTGAGCAATTTATTGATAAGATGAAGGCCAATTTGATAAGACATACTAAATATCGAAATTATTTGAGCAGATGCTACACACTTTCTTTGAAGAAAATTACAATATGTGCATACAAATATCGAAACCATTTCATCATCTGCTTAAAACAGAGAGCAATGTAAAACAATGGCTGTGTAGAATCAAAGCCTTTTGTTCTCTTATTTCCAAGGCACTGAATGCACAATTTGTTTTTAAAGGTAAACCAATGAATTTGTGCACTAGTGGAAGTGGGAGAGCCTAAACAGAGGACAATAATTATTTCCAGCTGGATGTCATACAACCACACCTGTTAAAAGCAGCTGTCATGGTCTATGAACTGAGAATGCCATACTTTAAAATCATTGTTCGAATTTTTAAAATGTCAATGCTATGGCTGACAACTTCAAGAGGTGTTAACAGAACTTCAACAACAGTCTTGCATTTCATGCAGAAAATTAAGTACTAGAACATTACTCATTAGCCTTGCATAGTATATACTTTCACTGGATAAGATGGTGATTTATATAAAGAAAATACAGCAAACATATCCATTTATGGCACTTAATTACTTATATACCATATATACACATAATTACACAGAACAACTAATACTCTTTTGAAATCTACAATGAAATGGAATTTTAAATTCAGCAACAAATGTCACATCTTCAAGTGAAACTTGGTGTCACATTTCTTTTAGCTTTAGTACTATCGAACAATGTGTGAGTAAACTGTGCACATATGCCTATGTGCACATTTGTATGTACATATGTATTCTGTATTTATGTTTGTATTATGGTGTGGATGATGTGTAAATATGTAGTGTATGAACATAATATATCCATACAAATATATTTTTGTATTATAACTGTATAATTTATGTATGCATGTCTGTATGAATGTATATGTGTATGTATGAATACATGCATGTTTATCATCTGCTCTGATGATGTGTTTGTATGTTCATATGTACATCTATTTATGTTCTTGAATGTCTACCACACCTTTTCAAAGTCCATGCATGTATCTGTGAGTGTGTGTGTGTGTTAGTCTGTATAAGTAAATGTGTGTACACGAGTGGATACAAACATAAACTAGCAAATATTGTGCCTACGGCAGAGAGCAGGCCTGCACACAGCTGTTTGCTGGAGGCAACACATCATTTTCCCCGAGTTTTTATATTCACTGTATCTAATTGCAGTTCATACCAAGTGATCAAATTTAACTGGCTTTAAATTCTGATAAGTAAGTAACACACCTGGGAGCCTACCCTGTTGACTGGATGTCCCAGTTTCACAGCACTGAGATCATGAGCAAACGCTGTTCCTAGGCATCTATCAGATTTCCTGTAAAACAAAACGACTGGTACTCATGACCTGGGAGATGCATGGAGGCTGAGAAATGTTGATAAAATGGGCAGATTACATATTTTAAGGCACAAATCCAACAGTTCAATCACAGCAGATTCAAAAAAGATCTTTCCTGCGGAGCGTTGGTACATGGTTTGGCTTTTTGGAACAATTCCCATTGTTTCTTTTTGTTCAATTATGACCTTATGACCTCCGTGCAGCTCCTAAGCCCAGCTGCACAAGATCTTCTCAAGAAATGCCTTAAGCTTGTAAAATACCAGAATGAAAGTGCTTTTCTCATTAATACACTACTATTTTATGGAGAACAGCTATATCATGCATCACTTTAGGTATGTCAGATCATTTCAGAAGATACAGCAGCCTACAGCAAACAATCAGCAAATATTTAAGCTTCCTTCAAAGACTGCCAAAGATAGGTATTGCATGTATATTTGTTTCTATTTTTCATTGTGATTATTTTCTACAAGTTGTGTCCTAGAAAATAGTTCCATACACTGTAACAAGGCAACTATAAGAAATAGTATTTTGTTCACAATGACAATTTATTTTACAATATACACCTACAATCTAAGTACCATCACAACATCCGTGTCACAATGTATTGTGCATACACACTATCACACCAATTATGTCATGTTCAATCATACAATATACTTCCACATAGATATACACATTTCTCACAGGTACAAACATACAATCAATTACACAATTATTTGTACATTACTCCTTTTCTCACAAAACACTTGCAATATGTTAAAGTTCCCAACAGTACGACTTCACATTTCTTGATCCACATTAACTTCTTGATACTTGAAATATATCCACAGACATTTATAATACAGGCATTTCACATTACATACATACTTACAACCATTACATACATTTCATGCATACATTACATACATAAACATTTTCTATTTAGGTCTTCTGAAATTTCTTCTTCACTTCAAGAAAGAAGAAATCAACCACCGCATCTTTAATATGTGATGAGATGAAGCTTATAAGTTGTCCAGAAACTTTTTACATTCACATAAGCATAATAGCAGACATGAGAATGAGAATGAATCCTTTAATTTCCATTCCCGTTTCATTGAAAGGTCAAAAACATGAATGTCAACAGTGAATGAAGAATAATTCAAGCATTATCCCTCAACAGTCTATCTACTGTGTCACACTCTTGGAAATTCACAAGGATTTGTATTTAACTATGAGTCAGCAGCAACCTGTACACCTACATGTTTCAAGTAGTTGAGGTGAATTTTTTAAAAAAATCTTCACTCAAATGAAGATGAGACACACACTCATCAATCATTCACAAAACTAATTTAAGTAGAGAACACGGTGTACATATTTGCACACATACATATGTGCATGTGTGCATCAGTAGATAAAACACACATACATATACATACACATCATATACGTTGACATCCGAGATTTGCCGAGATTGCACAAAGGGAATCCTTCGAAAATTGAATGAACACTTATATCTACTTCTTCTCCTTAGTCTTATTTTCTCTCATTCAATCCCATCTTGTTCAGTAAGTGTAGAAGGAAAATCACTGCGTCAGAAGCTCCCATAACCCTGAGATCATTTCACTCAGAATCAAGGCAGCAAGGAGGCTAGTGGCACTGTGGTACTAGCACTGGAGGATATCTTCCTTCCATATGCACTCGGCAACCATGCAGAGTATGTATAAATAATGTACAATTATATTACAAGGAGAGCTTGTTTAAGACATCTCCTCACCGGCCAACAAGTCGTACTGCCAGCAGCACTGTAGCACAGGTACCAGTCAGAAGTTGCCACAGCACTGGTGCAGCTGCCAGGGTCTGTGCACTATTGTAGGTTAATTCTTCATTCTTCAACACTTCATTCGGGTGTTTATTATCATATTCATCTGAAAATGAGAACACTAAATAAGAAATATGAAACAACAATAATTATTATTATAATTAAAAGAATAATTGATTTTTATTATCGCTCCAAAATATATTTGATAATGAAAGATTAATAGTTAGTGAAAATATAACACAAATGGTCAAATTTTTTTAAATGAAAATAAATCTCAACACACAAGTAGAAATAAATTCTTAGAAACTTTGTAAGATACACTTATAAAAGAAGTAAATATGAAAAATTAACCACTGAAGCTCGATAATAGTATACAATCTTCTGATACAAAATTCTGACATACTTAGTACAATGCATTAACTTTATATCAGAACTATCTTCACTATAAAAAATGCTTCAAAAATACCAAGGATATATAAAGAAATGTACCTCTAAATACATTAAAGCTGCTGTAAACACTGCTTGCTAAACAAAATAACACATTTACCAATAAAATTGAGAAACTTTAAGGAAAGTTGAAAAATTTCATAACTGCAAGATAATATTCCATTATGAAATGTGCGAGTCTGTTTCCAAATACACAATGCATTCTAGTATCAAACAACTCAGTTTCACAATGTATTTGTTTAAAAAAAGTTCACAGTTTTACACCTTCCGCATTAAAAAAATAACAGATTCTTGAAAACTTAATACAAAAGTCTCCAAATCTTAGACAGTACTTCGCAAAATTGACTGACACAATGATTTTCTTTCCATTTGACATTGCACATAATATTAAGATTTTTTTTTTTAAATACCGCTATGAAATTATTTTTTCCTCAAGCAATTCAGAAACAACATATTCTAGCTAATTAGTATGTAGATCTACACACTAATTAGCTAAAATATGCACAAATTGAATATCTGGACATGTTGCAATTTTTTAACATCAGTCAAAGTGTGCTGTGGCTCATCTGTCTAGATCAGGGGTTCTCAATGAGGACGGTATCGATCCCCTGGAGGTCAATGACAATTTAAAGGGAGTCAATGATGATGAAAGAGCCAATCGAGGATTGATGTCTGTAATACATACTGGAAACTGATAGGTATAATGAAGATCAAGATCCCACTGATTACAGAAAAAAATTTACATACATAAAGTAACAAATCATCTAGTAAAAAATAACAAATTCACTTGGCTTTAGGAATTTCACAACATTTACATTAACTCCATAACATACATTGTACTCGCTCAGGTACATTAGTTCACTACCTAATTATTTCACATGTTTTGATTTTCCAACTGACTGATTAATTTGGTAACAGATGTTGTCAGTAGGATGGACTGAACTTTCGTTTGTTACACAATATAATCAGTGGCACTCTATAATGACTTGGTAGATTGCATTTTCACTGAGTATATGTGTTTTAAATGATTACATTGTTGACATTTTGTGTAACAATTTGCTTATTTTGCATATAATTATGTTAAGAATACTCAAAAGTGGTTGAAATATTCTCTTATATTACTTTGTATTTTGAATGAAATGGAAATATAGGCTTTTTGTTTTGCATTGCAATTGTACTCAAGCAGGTTCAACAGGCAAATACATTTCATAGTTACTAATGCTATCAGCAATGGTTGAATAATAATGGCACCCCAGAACCTTTCTACTACAGCTGATAACTACCACATTCTTGAATGGGCTGTTAGTTCTATTACAGATGAGAATGATGATTCGGACATCAAAGTGACTGATCTAATTATTTCAAATTCATCTCGAAGTTATAATCGATAAAGAGGGAAGATTCATTCAGAAGGACCATTCAGAACACTTATCTGAGTGGAAAAGTAGTAACTATCAGCCATTTGCACAAAAAGGCTATCTCCATCAGTTGCTAATTTTCTATCACGGAGAAAAATAAATATTTACTCCCTATTCACAAAACCACAAAAATCATTCAAGACAGAATTTATCAACTAATATTCTTAAAAACTTTACATCAGTTACGTTATGAAAAGAAAATGACAAAAAACTTGTTGATTTGAATATTTAAAACAGCAAAACAGCAGTTATATGTAGATCAGAAAAGTAGACATAACTTCAAACATAGAGATGACTTGAGAGAACCAATTGCCCAGCGAGTATGTATGTTGGAGTTAAGGTGAAGATTTTAGAGTGCAAATTGTAGCTAATTGTATCTCAAAACCACTTTTTTTTAAATGAAGGAGAATTTGCATTTTGCTGGGAAAACACTCACAGCAAATTCAAATTACAACATGTACAATAAAGGAATAGTATGTGTTTGAAAGATACAGAACGAAATTGGTGGAGTAGACCAAATAGACCAGTGTGTCATATATAAATCAATGGTGAAAGAAGGTAAGGGGTAATTTTCATGTACTTCGTAGAATTGACCATGGCTAATGCATAGCACCTGATGAACTGACAAGAGCAAAGACTGGATCAATTCTCATTCAAGAGGATGCATAGCAAGGGTGCATCAGAAGGTGAAAAGATGTTGCCTTTCATCATCTATAGTAGAAAGCTTAAAACATCAAAATATTGGACATAACTCTTAAAACATTATAAATTAATCAATATGTGTCATCTGTCATTAAAAGTTGTGAAAAATGTCAGAAAACATAATGATCATAAAAGACCATGTCTTGAAGATTTTCGTCATTTATCCACCCATTGAACACAGTTGGGTATAACCTTTTCTTTGTCATTTAAAATATTTTTACGTGTGTTATGAATTTTCCTTTGTTCTGTACTCGTATTAATTGTAGAAATAACACAAATCATTTAAAAAAATCATTGTACATTTTCTATGGTTAATGAAAGATTAATGAAATAGAAGCTTAGAAGAATGTAATAAGAATTTGTGTTTTGTTTCAGAAAACTTGTTTATAATCATAAAAAAACTGATAATAGTACAACAAATAATAAAATAAAAAAATATTTTTTTTTCTTCAAAACGTTTGTTCATAACTTTTGCATTTTTATTATCCTTAAGTCATTTATGTGCAATTATTTTTGTTATAATTATGTTGTATGCTACATATTAGGCCTATTGAGAAAAATATTAGTGGGTAAATGAAGCAAACCATTCTTTGAAAAGGGGTTGATGCAACAAAAGGGTTGGAAATCCATGGTCTAGATGATTATCATTAAATCATTCCCGCTAGTCTTGATATAATAGTACATCAAAATGACATATGCTTAATAGTCCCACTTAACCTTTCATTTTTTTCTAATACTATTTGGAAATTTTAAAAATTGGATAAGTAATAAATAATGTACTTCAGGGGTTCTCAAACCATAGTACCCATACACCCATTGATGTGGCAGGTTTGGAGAGATATGCGTAAACAAATTTGGGAATATTTGAAGAAAAAATTAACCACTTGACCCAACTGAAAAGTCACACCAGATTTTCAATTTTGTAAGAAATTGATACCCTGATTATACTTTTGCAATACTGCTGAAATAGGCAAAGTACCATAATTTCTAAATGATTTTACAGGTTCTATAATCCACCTTTTAGAAAACATGAAACCCAAAGATGTATTGCAAATTAATACTGCCCTAATGGATGAACATTGTTTACACCACAAGCATCCCAATAAACACACTCAAAAAGCACACACAGAGTAATTTGCGATAAGTATATACTTGTGATTATGAAATAATAAATATAATACTTCAAAATCACAAAATACTTGCAGTTGATTGTATGAAGTATGGTACTAACATAATTCTATTCGACATATAAGTGGGAAGTCCCTTCAAAAAATTCTTAGTACAGATTCCTCTATATTGACAATTAGTGTAATGAATTTTCATTCTCACAAATATTCTCAGGAATGATTAGTTGGATATTTTAGATAATAAAATGGTAGATACATTAACTTACTTGTTTTCTTAGTGGTTGACTTTACATTGTAATTAGGCATGTCTAATTCCTTTAGTGAAGTGGGGCGTGTACTAGTGGGTGTAGCTGCTGTACTGACTGCTGCACTAACAGAAGGAGAAGTTCCCACAGAAGTAATGACAGTGGTGCTGGACGGCCGTTGAGCACTTGCTGCAAATACAAGAAATACATCTATATATAAATATATCTCTAAAAACACCAAACTTTGAAATTGATTAGTCTCTGAACTTTTAATTATAACAGAATTAAAAATCCATTTCAGATAAGGTTTTTAGAGAAGAGTTTTCTTTACACGCAATGCACAATCAAAAGGTTCAGAATTAATGTGGACCAAGTCCAATTTTTGCTTATTCCTGCTTAGGTTACCAGAAAATTGAAAATACCGTATTTCCCCAAATATCAGGCAATGATTTTTTCCTAAATACAATGAAATCCACACAAACAGCCACTTTGATTAAGATGTCACCTCCATTAACAGTCATTTTTTCCTTTTTTTCCTTGAACCAATTCTCCACAAGACTGTAAATATTCCCTCTTTTCAGCAGCCAATGGCCAAACATGTTCCATAGATTGAATTTTATTAACCAGTTACCACAAACAAAAATTGGTAAAAAACGAAGGGGAAAACAGGAGGCCTCTTCAAAAGGTAGTCACCTTATATTCGATCAATACGGTTTTTGTTGGTGAAAGAATAAAGTAGATTATTTGTTTACAATTTTTACATTCTAGATGGCAGATAGCTGTCTGGGAGGTGCATTGCAATTAAGCGTGGTTCCAATTCCGTCGTCATACTGCGAATTTCTACACAGCGAAATGTTATACACGAAAGGAAATTTGTCCGTAACAAGGTCGCAGTATTGGGGCCAAAATGTTGGCATCTCAGTTATGTGTATAATTATTATACTATTTGAAACTAGTAGTAGTATGTTAAACGCGAATGCTGAAGACCCAAGACTCGTCCTGAACTTGGTAATGCGTAGCGAAGCATCAACTTCGCCGATGAAGTACACATTTTGGAATAAAAATTATTTGAGTGAAATTGTGTTTGCAAACCAGTAAAATATACGCTTTTGTAGATATTCCACTTGTGGGATACAGAACCCTAAACTACTCAATTGGAGGAGTCTTAAAGGCCCAAGAGCAGCAAATGTAAGTTTTATTAACTTCCATGGGCACTTTTTCTCTCCCATAATTTTACCGCAAGTGTTTCAGGAGTCATGTACTTCTTCCTATCTACCTCCCCTTCCCCAATACCTCTTCCTCCCCTCTTCACTTCTTCCGAATCCCACTCCTTGCAATCACTATTCTCGCGTGTATGTTTGTTTGTGGTTTTTTTTTTTTAGTTTTTTTTTCTTTTAATAGTAAATTTTGCACAATTTTGAGTTATAACGTGTCAGAATCACGATTATTAAGTATTTATAATAGAATAATAAATACAGAGCTTTTCATGCTCTCTCATTAGGACTGGTGTCTGGGTTGTTCATCCGCAGAACTTGGATTCGAATTCCAGTCTGTTCAAATATTTTTCTGTAAACTTTTGTATGAATAGATAACGACATGTGCAATTCAATGACAGAAAGCCACTCTCATTCAAATTCTTAAATTCTCAAATATTAAAGATGAGATTTTTTTTTCTCTCTCAAATATCGTTTGGTTTAGTTTTTCAAAAAAGGATGAAGTGAGTACCATAACGTTCGGGCCCAGGTAAAGTAGACTCCTTTTTTATGGGATTTTTTTTTTTATTTGAGGTATTTCCATTACTTATGTTTACTACACTCTTTTATAAAGGGAGCCCGTATAAACATTTTGCGGGCGGGTCCCCACTCATTTCGTTACGCTGCGGGGTTAAGTGTTTGTAGGATTGAAGTGACAATATTAAAATGTTATGTAACCATTAATACGAGTATACCCTGTATGCACACTACAGTAACCACTAGTTTGTTTTTACACTACGGTATGAAATTTTAAAGTTTGTCAAGCGATCTCTCTGGTCGTTAATGCACACACAACTGGGTGCACCACGTCTATATCTACATGTTCGAACAGAAATCGATCACGCTGAAATGTGCCTATTTATAAGCAGAACGGTGATGAATTGGTTTCCGATTCCTAAATCATTCTTACTTTTGAGAAATTGTACTTTCAAGAAAATATAGTCGTTTGCGTTAAATGACCATGGTTGTGTTCGTAAAAATCGTGTGTAATCGGACATAATATTTTACATTAAAATTGGTTGTTTAATTAATGTTCTGACTTTATAGGTTCCATTATATTCTAAAAGGTTTTGCAAAACATTTTGAAATAATGGAACCTAGAGAGACTTAACCGTTTATTGACTATTAATAGCCAGGTTAATCTGAGATTTTAATTTACCACAGGCTTCAGCTTCACTTAGATAGAAGACTGATATTTACTTTCTCGCATATTAATATATATGGAGTATTTCAGGGGCAGATCAAGACACAAAGTTTGGCGAAATTCAAAATGTTTTGGTCGAATGTGTCATATTATAGATTTTGTAAAATGTCACAGGCAACACTCATCTCTTGCTGTGCTACAATTTTATGTGTTTTAATGAATACATTTTTTTTAAGAAAATATTTTTGCTTAAAAGGTTTGTGACAAGTTAAAATGAATAGTTACTGAATCATTTTAGAGGGGAAATATCCCTCATTTCCCTCCTACTGCACCTGAGTATTTGCATTGAGGTTTAGTATTACTTCAAAATGTCAAGATTTTGATAACACACATTGCAGGGATACCTAATACCTTTTTTTTCTCTCTTTCTTACTTTCTTTCTTTCTTTTTCTCCCCCCCCCCCTCTTTCTAAAACATCGGTCCTTGAACATAACTAGCAACTAAAATGTACACTGAATTTTCCAGAAAATGATTATTCCCTATCAATGTGGCTGAACTCGAAACCCTGAAAATTTGGCACAATCTTTTAATTTTGAGGAATCCTGTACAGGAAGTTTTTTTTTTCTTTCTTTCAAATTTACTGATAGCACTGAAATTTGAAAATTGCACAAGTGGCAACTTTTTCCAAACCTGTCATACACCATCGAAACTGAAACTACCGATTTATTTACTACTTAGTACAATTTATTCTGAATATTCGATCTTTCTTATACTAATACATACTGGCAAACAAGAAGGTTAAAAAAGAATGGATCATTGTTTGAAGAAGGTGATCTATATAATCATATTATTTTTTTAAAAATCTTTGGTATTGGAGATATATTTTTTTTCTACCATTTCTGTATTTAAATTCTTGAAACTACTACTTTCACATTCCAACTATTCTGAGCAAAAATTGCAACCCACTTTTAAGAGTTTTTCTGCAGAAATGTGTTGTTGTATAAGAATCCAATTAATAAGAGTATAAATTTCCTATTTGTGATCAATCAAACACTAATATTGTATGGATTCACAACAAATTTTGACAATTGATAAATTAATATTTCATATCAAAATAAATTATTCTTAATACTTTCAAGGAACATAATATGTAGGACTCCATAGGACTAATGTAATGTAGAAATCTGTGAAAAAGAACTGACAATCACACGCATTAATGACCTTTAGAAAAATAGAATAAAATCAGCACTAAGTGCGTTAGTACACTAGCTTCATAAACCCATGTTTGCTTATTCAAACCCTGTTGCGAGCTGTGTTTTTTCCTTTAAAGGATGTAAAACCTTTACAGTGACATGTCAATCTTGTGACGTGTAAAACAATCATCACTAAATGACTGGTAAAATAAAATAGTTTGATAATTCTCATCCCAATCAGATCCTTCATTCATTCAGCCGGTGAACAACACCAGAAACAGATACATATGTGAAACAGATAATAGTGTCCTGGCCTAGCAATGAATATGGGAGTCGAAAAACAGTAGCAATGGGAGGCCATGCAGTGCCAAAAATGAAATGCCCAACAACACATGCCATTTTAGGACTGGGTAATGGACAAGGTTCCAGAGACCGAACAACAGACAACATATCTAAATATTAAATTGATAAAGAAAATCTAAACAATTTAACATAATGAAAATAATATAATATGAACCAAATTTTACACAGAATAAATATACAGAGAATAGAATAAAATTGCAAATCTAAGGACAAAAATCTTTAAGCAACATTATTACAACTGAAACCATTATTTAAGTAAATAACACTACTATGTATGGAAGTATTTTAAATGTTAATTCCATTCCTTTTTAACTAATATATACATTTAAATATTAACTTAACTGCTCATCAGTAAGATAAATAAAACACTCACTCTGATTTTGCAGATCATTTGGTTGACAGCACACCTTGAATACCACCTTCATGTTGTGCGTAGAGCAGCGGCCACCAATTCGCCGATGCAAGTCATCTTTTGATGATGTGGCTGCCAATGAATTATACTTTTAACACTTGTCCTTCTAATTCAGATCAATTGAAAGCAATACAAGTAGTATTATTCCTCAATCAATCAATTTCACAAAATTTATTTCTATTAGTTTCAAAGATTGCAGGTTAAAAGTTCTGCGTCGGATAGGTTTTTACAGTCTTTTACCATGTTTCCACACAATTATGCATGTGCTGCATACATCAACACGAATAAAAGTCTTTCATTTCTGAAAGTCAAATAAAACATCAAAACTTTTACTTTTTTAAATTAATTTCAAAAACTGATAATAGAGAACCAAATTTTGATTGGCAATTTTATGTAGCAGAACTTCTTTCTTAAAAAATAATTATTTCCTTTTAAAATTTCTCTCAAAATTGTTTTTAAATAATTTGGTAATCACAAGTGATCACTACAATATTCTAATAATTGTTAATAAATCACCAAGATGGAATGCACAGGTAAAACACTTTGCTTGTTTTTACTCATTGTGGCCAGCTTCAGATGCACAAGGGTTTCAGCACTGCTCAATATCACAGAGCTAAAGGCTGTAGGGGTTTGAGTCCCATGAAAGGAATGTGATTATGGCAATCACAGTAAAATAATGTTAGTTATACATTGATTTATTCAGTGTGCTTTGACAGATCATCAGCTGTTACAGTGTCATCCAATCGGGAGCTTAAACGTCTCCATAGTGAAATCACTAGTGACGTTCATGATGTTTAGATCGAAGTATACATTTAATTTTCTACAGAACATACTATTTGCATTCAACTAACTGAATAAATTTTCTTTAAGAATCACTTTAATTTACAGATAGGAAAACAATAGTCTAAGCTGTATTATAGAAATAAACAAAAATGTGAAAGATTAAAGCAGTGGCGTATGTAGGTGTTGCAACTATGACAAAATTGTCCGTCTAATAAAACCTCATATCTAATTTATTATCTCAATGTCTAAAGTAAACTTTTTGAGAAAGTTGAAATGTATCAGTATTTTAAATGTAAATTAAATCTTACTTTGTTAGTTATATATACATTGTAAAGAAAGCAGTGAAATATACTCACAAATGAAGTAGTAGTCTTGACCTGGTTGAAATTCCAATCCCCCAGGTTGAGGGGTAAAAGAACGGAATGTGATGGTAAAATACATCAGTTTATATGGTTTGTCACATATAGCAATGATACGTGGATTTGGATTGGTAATACGGCATGTGTCATATTCTTCCTTTGACACCTAAAATAAAAGATAATTCATAACTCAGAAACAATGTTATATAATACAAAAAAAGCACTATTTTTAGTCAACAAAAAAAAAAAAAAAGGATTTTAAATATTATTAAAAATGTATACACTTTACAATCCCAGATTCTGCACTTACATTATAGATAATATATTTTTCTGCGTCCTCTTCATGAGTGCCTGGCATGTACACAGGGCAAATAATGTTGACTTGATCATATTCAAATGGTATGTTGCCTTTATTCACATCAATAATGTGATCAGTGTTGTCAATGCGAAATCTGCAACAATATGAAAACATTAATTAGTTATTACCTACATTAGTCACAAATCAAGAAAATTAATATTTGAAATTGTGCCAATTGCAAATAACTTAGAACAAATGTCATTTATGAAGAAAGTATGTTAATATCTAGAAAATTATGTTACAAAAACTAAACACACTACTCTTAAGCCTTACGTTTCAAATCTAATACATATCTACATTTGATTGACTTCAGAATCATACAGACCTAAACATAACTTTCTTTAACATTTCTACCCATCTTATGTTGAAATGAAATGATATATTTAACATTTTGAATTTTTTCAGAAAGGAAGGAACAATTTTGAGAGTGAAGAACTTTACTTTCAATGACGGAGTAAAATTGGCCCAATAAATTTGTATGTCTATGTCACAAAACTGAAGTGACTAAAAGTATTAATGTTCATCTCATCCCATTAACATGTAAAGCTTCTTTAATACACTGTATTGTTCCGTTGTGCCTAATATTCAAACTGGTCAACATTTTCAAGGTATTTCATTAAATAACTTACTGAAAACAGATGTTTTTTATAAACGTCATTTAAAAATAAATTAATAAAAAAATTATAACCTATGTTACATAAAAATGATAACTTTGTTTGAAATGTAACAATTAAAATGAAATACACCGTTTTGGTCATATTTCTTTAGTTTCATATTATTTATTTATTATCAATTTTCCAGAAATATAAGTCATTTCGTTAAGTACGCAAATACCCTTTCAATGAAATGCGGAGTCCTTTGCCCTCTCGCCGGAAATTCACAGGGTTCACAAATTGAAGAGCGAGAGACAAGTCGAGATCGATAAGGAAATTGGAAGCCGAAACTCGATGTTGCGTAACCAGATGACCATCACTTCCACTCACTACTGTCAAAATTATATCATTAGTAGTAAATATTGATTTCCGGAGATGATGTTAACGCACCGTTCCTCTTAGTATATAAATGGGCAAGGGGAGCACTCCCCGAACGGAAAGCTAAAAACGTTTCCGGAGGGGAGATTTGAACGCGAATTTCGTTGCCCTGCAGCGACGAACGTCTTTCGTTCAAAATGTCTATGATTAAGGCCTTTACACGAATAATTCATAAAAGCTGCAGGTACTTCATATTTATTTCTTACTGTGTAAAAAAAAAAAAAAACTTTGTAAGTTTAATTCGGCGAAACAACCAATATGCTGTTTCACCGAATTTTCACAAAGAAATGTTTCTGTGATAGGCACCCGAGGCGATAGGTAAAAACGAGCAATCAATATCTGGACAATTTAAAAAAGTCTTCTTCAATTTTACACTTTTTTTATTTAATTAACTTCTTTACTAAACTGAAGCGTTAGGAATTAACTGAACTAAATAGTATAATTTTTGTTTTTAAATAACTTGTGAAATTACCTAAGTTATGTTTAGGGGCGGATTTTAATGAAATGTCATTTTATTTATTTTCGCTTTAGAACAATGCCTTTTAGTATAGAAATTCATCATATGTTATGACGAAACGAAATGACCCATTTTTATACGTTTTTTTTTTCATTTTTTTGTCGATTTCGACTAATACGACATTTTTTACTTTTTACTTCATGTTTACTGCATGTCTCTTTTTTTATTATTTTATTACATACTTTCCTGATACAGCGTACATCGCCACTTTACACAAATTGTTTGTTACAATACATGCACACAATGCTGCATAATAAAAAAATAAGGAGAGTGACCCCACTGGGCTCCTCAATGAAAAGAGAATTAGGGTGAGGTGTTTGAAAGCTTGTGGTTTGTGACATGAGTACGGTAACGGAACTTATGGTAGGGTAGAATTGGAGTTACGGAGGGCGAAATTTATCTTTGGAGAATCTGGAGGGGATGCGGCTCAGATGAAGATGAGTGGTTTTTCCTCATTAGAATGTCGGTTGGAAAGGGAGGTTATAAAGCTTGTTGACAATCTTTCGGAGAAGCGGTCTCTTCTACTTGCTATGATTCAAGAAACGTAATCTTCTTCGTTTCGCTAGTTCACTATTGAATTTCAAGTATGGCTTTGTATTTTTGAGGAAACGTATGATACATTATATAATAATTATGCGAGAAAAATGAATGATTCTTGCGTAAATGTCAACATCACTTTCCGTTCTGCTTGAAAATGTAGTAATAAATACTGAATTGATGTCTTATCTTTGCAAGATCAAATCGACATAATTTAACGAAACTAGATGACGTAAAAGTATGACATGATAAATATTGTTGTGCAGAAGTAATAAGTACATGAATTACATGTTGTACACATGTAACACAATAATGCCTGCTTCACATTGAGAAAGAGCTCGAAGAAAAAAGGTTTTTCGCAAAATATATTTTTTTAAATTGGTATGAACCAGTTTTTTACGTTTTGTATTATCAAAACTCAATTATAAATATTAAGACAGTCAATATTGCTGCTCTAAATTTTTCCCCAGATCGCATATACTTTTTCCCCGAAGAGTAAAACATTTAAACAATTTCTGGTTCATTATTGATCTTTTTTAATTTAAAAATAAAATTAGTCCATAAACATATTCTTGAGAGCTACGCAAGGATTTTACCGGTTTAAAAAATTGACCATGATAGAAATGAGTTCCCTCCATTATTTTTAACCTGAGGCCACAGTATTACCAAAAAACGTAAGTCCAGAAAACTATACGAATTTTCGTACATTGGTACATTCTATTTCTAATTAAATAAAAAGTAAATTGTTAAACAATTAGGTCTTATTATCTTGTAACATTGCTTTGTTAGCTTTGGGGCCCCATATTGGTAACTACGTGACAATTTCTAAAGTATAATTTAATAATTTTATACCTCTCTGTTTTACGTAGAGATAAATACCACACAATTACTTCATTTTAATAAATAAAAAATAGTTGAAATTATATTAACGTAAAACGTTAACTAGTGGAATGTCAATTACTTCTAATGCGCGAGAATTTCTGTCAATCTTTTCATTGATATGGCGCACACGAAAACAAGCCCTGATTTGACTCGTTCTCAGAAAAATAATTATTCTGCTCCAGTATCACATACAGTTAAGTTCATAAACGCACAAGCAAAGAAATATTACAAGCAAAATGAAGGACGTGGGTGTAAAACTTGATAATGCGCAGGAAACTCTTCCGAGATATAACCTACCAAACAGTTTGGTTTACGAGCTTTAACAAAACTTGGATTACCTGTGAGTCATAAATTGAATTACCTGAGTATCACATTGCATGGCCATCTACGGACACAAAATTATAGTATTGCAGAAACTACAATTTTAATGGTTACCGTCTTTTACTCCAAGCCCTTCAAATTTATTTCGGATGTCACAGATCCACATAACGTTTAAACGTGGGGGTATGATTGGTGTCGTTCAATGGGATTTCACCTTGTTCACATGTGAACCTTTCCTTATAATACGGAATCACTTTACAATAATATATTAATACGTCTTAAAATTTCTCTTTAAATCACTGCTTCTTATGTCACCCCATCAAGAAAGTGCATGTATTCATGAAGGTGTTTGTATTTTGAAAACAAGCCCAGTTTACTCAAATATATCCGCAGAGAAAAAGACGTATTTTTATGTAAGAGGTGCTAAAAGATTATAAATGAATCAATTACTCGTGAGACGTTATGAAACACGCATGTTCCTTTCAATAGCAGTAAAACAGTTTACCAGCACACCACACTTCCTTTCTCCTGCATAAAAATGTAGCTACATGAAAAAAGCCTCTCATAAACGCAAATTTTCACTTCTCGAAACAGCAACATTAGAGTCGTGGTGATTTTTTTAGGTGAGTAGACAGCTGGAACCCTATTCACATATATTTTTTTATTTATTTACTAATTTTGAAGTACTGCCTGTTTCTCTGCTATACAAAGTATCTGCTTTATAAAGCTCTTTATATTGACTTCCAAAGAGCTTCTTATGTTCGAAGTGTTGATCAAGAAATTGCTTAGTGGATTGCGTATTCGTCGATCAGAGAACATTCGCATTTGAGGGGAATTCGGGCAATTATTTGCTTTTTGGTATAACAAAATCAAAAAATGAGTAATGAAAATATAATTCCTGCAAATTACTGGTTTTAGGCAGTTTGGGGCAAAAAATATCAAAATAGGAATCAACCGCTCTTTTAGGACATTTTAGGCACTATTAGATCCTCTCAGTAGATCTATTTTTTCACGATTCGTAAACAACTGCAATTATTTTCCACAACCTCCTAAAGGAGCTAAATAGACATTTGTCCTAAAATTCGAGGTCTTGTCATGACATTATGAACCCCCGTAATGTTACATTTTCCAATAACTAATAAATAAAAATAATTTCCAATAACCCAAAACTTCTCTTTCAGAATAGATACAAAAAGTCCCGAATTTTTGTGATTGAGACAGTAACGATTTCTAAGATAAGCAAAGAAACATGTTGGAGTGTACAAAACAGCCGACATGCTGGACAGCGTTTGGTGAAGTTCATAGCCTAATGAAAAAACATGGGGTGAGCTATTGCGCAGACTATCCGGCTTCAGCCAATGAGCTTCAGGCACTGGTTTGCGTCATAATATTAGAGGGAATTTTTAAATGGTGCCAGATACCAAACTTATCTCCTTGGTACAAGTCATTTTTTTATAACAATATTGCACGTTTTATTTCCACTACACCTTCATTGTCTTATTTTTGGTTGGTCACCGTTGAAAATTGTCACTTTATGCCAGGTTTAAAATGTTTCTCTACATTCGTCGCTTTCCATGCAGCAAGGCGGCCGGCGGTAGCTTTTCAAACGAAGCGCCCGTGTTGTGGTCTCGTGGTTCGAGACGTATCTGGTGCCGCACAGAACGAGCAAAATTCCAGCTCACCCATGTCTTTTCATCATGGTCCATATCACCTACTACGAACTTACGATTCTACACCACTGATTGTCACATACTGAATGTACGCGATGTTAGGCAGTTTACTAACATACTCCTGGAAAGTACGGCATGATGGAAGAATCCGCGGGAAATCACAATAACTGTAAGTCCTGCCCGCTGTCGCCCATCATATAACATTTTCTTGTTAAAAGTAAATTAAATAACAATTTGCCTCGAGCCATTTTTTATAGATCTTCCATTAACCCCTTAGTATCCCAGGTCAGCAGCTCTGAAGACTATTCTACACGATTTTTGGGTATTTACGAATGCGCTTATCGATGGGAGAGATACTAGTTGAAAGTAAATGTTCAATTCGGTTGGGCTATTTTTAAGTTCTTTACTTGAACTCTGGAATTGTCTTACGTAAGTTGCTACACTAGTTACACACGTCACCATGTTGGATGTCGATTTCATGTATTGACGACGTAGCAAAGAGCACCGTCCACCAGCATGCATCGGAGGTGGCTTGGGAGGCAGCGGTGGTAGCAGTCTCCGCCGCCGTCATCGCCCCTCCTCCCAATGTGCGGTCGACCGCCCCCCGCCCCCGCCCCCGCCGCAGTTCCCCCTCGGGCAGCTCCTTCGCCAGCGCCAGGCATTCGGCGTCCACCCTCCTCCGGCCCGCTCTTTCAAGTGGGAGAAAGGATTTCCTTGCATCCGAAGGGGTGCGGTGCTAAAATCCACCCGAGGTTATCGCTCAGAGGGGGCTGAGGTTACACACATTCGAGGACTACCGCGTCCGTTCACATCAGAATCTCGCAATGTCATCTTTCGTTCGCCTTCCTTTTCATGCTAGATCTTTAGCAAATTCCTTTCGACTTAACACGATCCACCTTCTTCCCCTAGTGTTTTTGTAAAGAGTAAATGGAAAGCGAGGCCGGAAATCCTCTATGAGGGCGGCCAGATTTCAGTAAAGTTAACAGGCAAAGAATGGATGATGAATACTAGTACTCTGGTAAGCGTCATTTTACGAGTTTACATGTCTTGATAAGTATGCAAATATCCTCACACTACTACAAAAGAGAACGTGAATATGTTACAACAGTGTCTGAGAATGATCAGTTACGTCATATTATAATGATGTAAACAATAGGTTCTAAAATGTAACCATCTATTGTAAATAGAAAACGAATTTATGACAGTATTAATTGTAACATGTTAAATGCGTATTATTTCCGAACATAATCATTGCCTCTTAACTGTTAATGCGTGCTCTGGACATTCCACTGTGTACGTCATTTTTTTGATGGTCCCTTCAAAATGTATTCGTAGACATACCAAAGCGTAGTTGCCTGAATTTTGATAATCTGGTTGTGGACATAACGTATCTATTTATCACTTATTTACTAGCTTAACGTACCATCTCAGGCAGGGATTTTCATGCTAAAAGTTTTATTTGTGCTATGTAAGATCAATATAGAAAAAACATTTTCACAATACAATTGCCTAGCTCGACCATCCTCAGTAAGGATACTTGCTCGGAAAAATTATCGATAAAAATAATTATTTATGTTTTATTTTATTACAAATTAGATTTAATTATCGTCAATCTGATAAATTAATTCACGTCACACCGGAAATGCTGTAATTTACAGCGTTTCACCGCAGCAGGTGCCTTGGAAAGCCCTCAAACATGTTTTTATAGAATTCTTCCCGAATATCCTAGACGGATCCAACCAAAAATAGTGCCAAAGGATTTGCCTCGCCGACTGGAAACGAAGGAGCTACTGACATACCCTCGTAGATGCTTGAAACCTCCCAAAGACGCCCCCCTCCAAAAAAGTATATCTTCGAGAATTCTCTTTAAATGCATTAGGAGGGCCCGGTGAAGCGTTCCCCGCCAGTAGACGTAGACGCGCAGAATGGCACATCGCGTCTCCCGAATGGTGGACCGGGGGAGTTCAAACCCTAATAGACAGGCGTATTTTGCAAGATGGCCAACGCATTCTTATTCCGAAAGTTCACGCTTTTTTCAATGGTGCATTTTTTTCATTTGTTTCTTCAATGGTGGTAATCATTGTACACACGCACTCACTGTTTTGAAAGTTTAGGGAAGACAGGAGCATTAAATAAAATTGTGGACAGATTGCTGGTTGTAGAAGCTTCACTGCTATCAAGACGCTTTTCCATTTACGTCCGCATGTAGTACTACAGTCAACAAAACAGGCTTTCCAAAAACGCAATAAATTGTCTGAAAAATCTATGACTTTTATGCGTTCCCTGACCTCCCTTAGAAGAGGATAAAGCTACTATACAGTGAAGGTGTTACCTTAAAATGTACTCTGTGAACCCCCATAAAATGGAGGCGAGGAAGTTCAACGAAGACGAGGGCGGAGTGCAATCTGCATCAGTCAAAAGGATCGCGGGTATGATTTCGTCAGAGCAGATACGTTTGGCGGTTGGAATGCCCAATCAAATTTCCAACGACATTATTATTATTATATGTTTAATGGAATAATGTTTAACAATTATTACATTAACGCTGAATAATTAACATTCAATGCGGATTTTCAGTACACTCGTTTTAACTGCGTATATTTATTGGGCGGTATTTAATATTGCAGCACGTAATCATAAACAAGTGCATTAAGAAGAGAAAAGCAATAAATAATTTGGAAACAAAGCATTCTAGTGTAGCGCAGCGAGCGCAAATGGCTGATTAACTCGCCTCTCTAAACAAGGCATCCGAGTCGCATTGTCTGCGCTCCCTGGCCTCGCTTCTTTGGCGACGGGCGGCGGGCGGTCCGCGGTGCGCGTCCGCGAAGGCGTTCGCTCTGCTCTTCTTGCGTGCACCCCCCGGCGCTTTCCCTCGCCTGCCGAGGATGACACATCAAGCAGCGCTGGCCAGCAGCGCGCCGCCACTGTTTCGTGCAATTCCGAAGCACATTAGGACGAGACAGCTGGTACGCGAAGCGGTCGCTGTGGCGAACGGAGACGACAGCCCGCTAACGAGAGCGGAGGAGGGAACCGGCTCCTTCCACACGCGCTGCACGTGCGATTCCGCTGCACTCCTCGGTGCGTGCGTGGAGAGCGACAGGGCCGAGATGCGGCCAAGGGGCAAGCAGAGCGTATGAGCTTAAGCGACGGAAAGATTTTGTCTCTCCTGTACATTACAGATTTCATTTTAAATATTTTTAACGCAAACATGTGATATCTTCAAGTGGTGAGGATCTGCGGCAAGAACGTCATACAGCAGCCTCTGCTTCGGTACAACGACAAACGAATTTCCTTACAAACCACAATTCCATACAAGTTTTTCTTTCAACGGGATACCGACGTATTTCCGAATTCCGTGAAATGATTTCGGATGTGAAGGAGATTCAGCATTGGCACATCAGAGAGCTGAGGTTTCAAAACGTTGAAATATTACTATATATCATCAAGTAAGTTTTTTTCGGCAGAATACTTGTTCGTTCATTACAGTGGATATGGCAACATAAAAGCAATGATTGCGCCTTGAAAGCTTGTCAGTTTTTTTTTTGTTTTGTTCATATGTAAATATACTAAATACAGTGGCTTTTAAATATTTATTTAATAGTACTACAATGCCTAAAAATCCGATAAAGAATCCCCGGTCTTTTTGGACGAGAAAGATAAGTAGCAGAAATTGTCATTGCCCGAGCCCAAACGGGGACATCACGGGCTTCATCCTATGCGAATTTGTCGGGTGCCCGCAGGGGCTGCCGCGGGGGCAGAAAGCTCGAAGTTTCCCGAGCGGCGAAGGACAACCGGAAGGCAAAAAAGGGGCGGGCGGGCGTTCGGCTGAGCGGCGTCCGCGCGCCTGTTTACGGAGCAGGGCGCGAGCAAACGCCGT